ATTCTTGCACAAAATTAACCCAGCCTTAGGTAGTCAAGAATGCCACTTTTTAAACTAAGGGATTTAAAGATTATGAGAGGATTTGTACCCATCTGTCACTTTTGGCCTGTTTTTATTTTATAAATCTTCCTTAGTCGAATTTCACTAAAAATCTTGTCAGCATTTGACTATTTTTAGATGAACTCATTTTATTTGGTAGCTCTGATATACTGATTTCCTAAAGGGAAAGATTTACAAAAAGAGGCATTAGGACGTCGAGTCCATCAAAGCTGCACGTTATTAATATTGCACGCTGCTAGAAAGGCCAAATTAACATGCAAAATTGTACCAGAAGCCCAAGCCATTTCAGTGCGGTTCTGTTTAATTCTGGCAAATGGATGCAGCTGAATTCTGCCTGCTTTGGGAAACATCCCAGGGGTGAAGGGAGTTAGGTGGGGGTGAGCACTCTGTGAACCCACAGAAAATGACCCTTCCAAGAGGGATGGGAAAGGTTTCCTGGGTGGAAAAGGTCTGCTCCCTTGCTGTGGAAGTGCTCCCCTACATGCAGCACTCTGCTACAGTTGGCTACTGACCCCTTGCTTCACGTACCTTAAACATCTTTCTCGTTTCCCTGGCTGACACGTAGCCGAACTCCAAACTGCTCAGGACTACAGAAATTAAACCCTTGACAGTGCTCTCCGGAATGGGTTTTGTTGATGTCTCATGTAGTCCCCTGCCAGACAAAGTTGTATTTTCCCCTTACATCACAATCACTTTTATTTTCACAATTTGGATTTTTAAAGATTGCTTTCTTCATTTTGTATGTACCACCGGCAGCTTGATCTTCTAATTGAATTGACTTTGGTATGGAAAAACGCTAATAAAAGAAAAATGTCGCCAACACAACTGCTGGAGTGCTGAATAGCTGGAGTGCTCAGGATCACGAACAGCTGCTGCAATTATATTTAACGGCCCATTTTCTGTGCTTTGCTCACAATCAGATCTTACTTCAAGAGCAGGTAGCACCATTTTTGCTTTTGTAGTAAACAAGTGACATGATTAGAATGATGAGTGGGCTCCATCTCCATGTTTTAATCTCTGGAGTTGTCTCTACCTGATTGGGAAGCTGAAATTCTGGCTTTTTATTTACAGCGAGTTGTGCTGTCTCTCCGTTCTGAATGTGTGTATATGCTGGACTTTTCTAAACTAGTTATTTATGTAGCTCCTCATTTCCACATGATTGTTTTCTTGCATGATATAAATCCCCAAATGTGTGTTTCAAGCAGTTTTAATCTTTATTTTCTCTGTACAAACACGCAGTTTTCACTAAAGGAAAATGCTTTCCTTTTCTTCTGACAAGAGTCGGTACTTTCCTCCACTGCATTTTCTCCTGCCTAACAAACTTCTATCCATCAAAATGCCTAGAGAGATGAAGTGACCAAACCAGGGAAAAAGATTTACATGATTCATTGGACTGGTAAATTCTGGGTTAAACAGATAAACAGAAGCAACAGAAAGCAACAGCTTTCGAAGCTTATTTTTTATGCATCATTAAAAACAGGCCATATGTGATTAAACAAATATCCTGCGCCCTCATTTTAACTCTGTTGTCCTTTGAGAACTCATATGACTCCGAGCTCTTTAAGTAAGTGATGTGTAGTCTGCAAATGGCACTATATGGGGCTTGACAGCATTCGAGATCAAAGCAGTTTAAGAGAATCTGGCTTATTTATTGGGTAAGCGCATGAATGTAATTGATAAAGTAATAGAGCATTGTAATTACGTGAAGTTACTAAAGCTCACAGCCCTGTGAGTACCCAGAACGTGCAGTCTGCAAATGGCATTTTAAGTTGCTCAAGTGCCTTCAAGATCAAAGTAGCTTAAGAGAATCGTATTGCTAGTGAGTGGGAGTCTGAGTAGGAGTCTGAACAAAATTGATAAGTAGTCTGAACATTTTAAGTACTTTGGGGCAATGCAGCGTGAGTACAAAGTAATAGGACAAATAACACCAGCTTGTCAGTGCTTGGTTTTCCAGAGCTGGACTAGTGATGAGAAACTCAGATGATGTTAATTTTAGCAGGGTGCCACCTAACAAACCAAACGAGTGATCCACTCGGGCTGGTGTTGGGCAAACACAGTCTAAACAGGATGAAAAACCTAGTTACGAGTGCTCTAGGCTTCTGCCTAAAAGAGCTGGAAGGAAAACTTGGAGCTGAGCTCAGCACAGTTCCCCAAGGGCACCCCAGTGCCAAGTATGGCCAGAGGAATAACAGAACGAGAAAGTGCCACCAGGGATTAAGAAAAACCCCCAAATGGGGACATGCTAAGTATAAACTCTCTTTTTGTACTACAAGGCTGCCTGAGGCGGGTTGGTAGGGCTGCAGATGAAGGAGGTGGTGTCTTGCAGTTCTTAGCCAGGAGTGGTTAAAGTGGAGAAACAGTAGCATCCTTCAGATAGAGCCAAGAAATGAAGGATGGCGAGAGATGCGCTCTCGTGGGGGAGCGCAGTGAGCCAGGCATGCACACACCTAGGGTGGCAACAGCTGGCTCGTCCATACAGACCTCCATACGTGCTTCCAGTCCGCTTGTTGCCGTGAATACTAATTCAGGAGTAAAATAATGAACTGTTCTTTTTGTTTGATTCTTTCTGTACAAGGTTGCGTAGTTAATTTCAATTTATCTAAACACTGAGAAACTTGGTAAGATTCAGGGGAGTAGGCATATAGCATATATTGGTGGCTATTTTGGAAGATCAGCGAAAAACCTCAAGAGCATCTATTTTTTCCTCTGTAACTGTAAAGAAGACTGCATCAGGACAACTCTGTGAAGGATCTAAAAGCTGGCAGACATTTCTAACTACTTTAAAACAAAATGCTAGTAAAAAGTATTGGCTATAACTAAGAAACCCTCCAAATTACTAAGACATAAATATGAAAACTGCAAACCCCTGTAACTGCACTGTTAAAATGCCTCCAACACTCTACAAATGATCTAGTTTTGGCTACCCACATGCATCATGTCACATTTAAAAATCAGATTCTGTGACTATCCAGTACACTCCTAGCTAAGTAAGCCCAAAAATAAGTTAGCAGTGAAGGAGAAAACAGCAGAAACCAGGTCGCACCACTTGCAGGGACAATAAAGAGGCACAGCTAGATCAATCAACATCAGTGCATTACAAAGGACAAAGTGCTGTTAGAAAAATAACTGTCCTTTCACTTCAGCTAGTTAGTATTCAATTACCGAACTGGAAAATTTTCTATCTCAACTTGATTTTAGGAGAAAGAAATGTTTCACTGAATCACCTCATACCTTTGAGCACAAAGTTCAATTTGCCAGCACAAGCATTAGTATTTGGGAGGAAGACTGAAAGTGAGCAATTTTTTTTTTCAGTAAAATGTAACTTAGAAGAAACACAAATATACCTGCTTCATCATAGGATACAGTCAACTTCTCCAGCATTTCTCGATCAATTGATAAAATCTGCTGTTCCAGGATGGTTTGGTAAGACAGTACACTGTTCTCCTTGTCCTTCTCGTAGTCTTGAAGATGTTGTTTTAGGACTTCAGGCAGGCGGGACTTCACATATTCTGCTGCCGACTACAGAGAAAAGAGGCAAAGGTTTAATTAATACATTTTCTTTTGAAAAGCTTTATGCATATCCATAGCAATTTTTATTTTTTAATTTAAAGCATTCTCAAATGTAACTCCTCACAATAAAACACTCTTAATGCTACTAACTCTATGGTGCAAAATCTACAGGTCATTTCTCTGCCAAAATGACCCCTGCCCACCCAAAACTTCTAGAGAGTTGGGGATATAACAGACCAAATTTGCCTGAGCTGAGGCATAACGCACTTTTCAGCAGGGAGTTTATGGCAGTCCTGAAAGAGTTACCCATGCTGGACTAGACACATACATATCACAAGAGCTCAACTACTTTGTTGTTAACATATTTTGAAAATATAACCATGAAATATAATGTCTTTATTCTAAATTTTAAAATACAAAGTGACGGAGTGGAATCACTTCACTTGCTATTGATACACAATCAGGCTTGGACAGGGATATAGAAGTGAACATTTAACAGCATTAAAAAATGACAGATATATATATATATATACAAGCACCCACACATAGAAAATTCTTTTAAATTTTTTTCTCAGACTGCTCAAGGCCATAAGGAAACAGAAAGTAACACAAGGTGGCATGGTTGTACCGATGGAGCCTTGTACAAAACCGTAGATGGTAGCAACTACTAAGAGCATCTGCCAGTGGAGAGGTGGGGGTCCCCCAGGATCCCCCCCCCCACCGAAACAGCTGTGTCCCTCGGGGCTTGGGCTCAGACGCCCCGGTGAGATCCAAACACAAACCAGCCTTCTGGTTTTTAAGCATCAGCATCCCTTTCCTGCCAGTATTACACTCCCACTGTAGAGGGGAATAGAAAGTCCCTTTTTCTGGTATGGATTTGGGGTGGGTTTCTTTGCTTTCCATCTCTGATAGTCACGTAACTGGAAAAGGAGGACATAGCAAAGGCTGCTGCCCAGCGCTCCAGCTCTCCTGCCAACCCCAAGACAGAAGAGAAAAAGAAATGATAACAAGGTTGTATTATTTCAGGCCTGGAAGTGACCAGAAGTTACCTCTACTCCGCAACAGGCTCTTCCTGGGTTTATATTTAGTTTTTCAAAGTCAATTGCCGATTAAGTTGCAACCTTAAAATATCACTGAAGTTGTGTTCAATTTTTCTGCAAGCTCAGCCATGTGAGACGAATGAAATTATTCTAGGAAAACTAAATGAACTCCCCACATGAGTACAGCATATTTAATGTTACGCTTTAACTGTGGTTTTCTTCCGAGGGAAGGCCAAAAGATACACTGTATATTAATTATTTTAGTCCAAGTTCAGGCATTTGTGTTTAATGTTTCCTTTGAGAAGAGATTTTACTCGGGGGGTGGGGGTGGGTATTTTTGTGCTCTCCCTAAGGCAGCAATTCTAAAAAGCAGAAAACAAAAGAAGAATTTATACATATTCATTTTCTGAAATACATCTTGTGTCAGTCGAGTGAATATTTGTATACTACCGGCTGCAAACACGTAAGGCAAAACACCCATCCTGTCCCAAAGATCTCGCAGCCCAAGTGAAAATCAAGAGACAGATGGGTACAAGCAGATGGGAAAACCATGGGGACCATCAGCTGTGGTCGGCGTGATGGACAGCTGTCGTGAGCCACGTCAGCCCAACCGTCAAGTTTTTCCACAGGCATCGAGGCCGAGGATTACACCTATTTCAGCCGTGATCTCATGGGTGGGGGATTTTCCCCCTCAGTGAGAAGCCAGACCCAACACTCTTGCTTAGTCCACTGCCTTTCACATGACATCTAGATGTTATTAAAGATTTAAACCGTAAAGCAATGATGAAACTGATACCAACTCCTCTCTTTTTCTAGCAAGAAAGGTGATCAGCAGCCTCTAAGTAATTACATCCCTAGCTGCACTGCAGCGATGAAGTACTGTATTCTATTCAGTACAAAAGTAATTTTATCTTGGTTTTAAAAAGTCACTTCCAGTACCTGGAATATTAAAAAAGAAAAAATGTGAGGGTGTGAATGCATGTGCCTGGTATTAAAGAAACCAAGCTAACTGTACTGGATGAATAAAAATTAAACAACATTTAAAAAAGAAAGACTTCCACCATTTCCATGCTCTTCCATCTTACCACAATTCTCACCACACAGACCACAATATTCAACTTCCGAGTAGAACAGAAACTCCCTCCGTGTGCCTCCCTCACGGATTTTGGTGTGGACCGCAGCCCAGAGACCCGTTTGCCGGGATGCCGCTCGCTGGCAGAGCATCCCACTGCTCCGGCCAGCCCACCGGCAGCTCGGCCGCTCCTCCTCCAGCCAGCACTGCGGTCCCCCCCTCTCTCATTAAGTCTATTTTCATTAATACATGTATTTGTGTTGAAGTTAGGGGGAAAAAAACCATTTCACTACTTCGAGGCTTCAAAATAGCTTTATTCTCTTTTCCTCTGTATGATCCCTCTTACTCCTTCAGGAAGGAATGACAAAGGTAGTTGCTCCTGGAAAACACCCGACCTCAGCCATTAGTTATAGGTACAACTAATTGTACAACATCTGCTGGTCAGTCTTCCTTATCACCAGCCCTACGAGAAAGCAACGTGGAGCCGTAGGCACTGCAGCGGTGAGAAATGCAAAGAAGCCGTGGCCTTGCTCACGCAGGCACTCTCCCACAGATCAAAACCA